CTGCTTCTCTTCCAACCACTTGTTCTCACTCTTGTCAGGATGATTTAGCTAAAAGGCTTAAGATCCTCTGGTAACTCCCCATGGCTTTCAGAATTGATTCACTAACTTATTCAAATAAATGTCTCTTAAGTCCTTAATGTGCCAGGCATTATTCTGGGAATACAGCAGTGAACGAAACAATAATAGTTACCCTTATGGAGCTTACATTCTAGTGTTGGGGATGTAATAAACAAAATCAGTCAAGTATACAGTGTGATATGTAGTGCTGCAGAGGGAAAATGAAGCAGGGAAGGGGTAAGGAGATGATGCAATTTTAAAGAGGGTGATCAGGTAGGGCCTCACGGAGACATCTGAATAAGTACCTAAAAAAATGAGGTAGTAGGCCATGCATATATCTGGGAAGGCTTTGTAGGCAGAGAAAATAGAAACTGTAAGGGCTCTGAGTTGGCAACAAGCCTGGCGTGTTTAAGGAATATCAAGGAGGCTGTCAGGCTGGGGAGGGGGAGGGGGTAAGGAGAACAAGATAATGAGGTCAGAGATAACAGGTAGCAAATTGTATATGGCCTTGTAGGCTATTATTAGTGCTGTGGCTTTTACAGTGAGGTGGGAAGTCATTGGAGGGGTAACAAGTCCTGACTAGTTTTAATAAAATTACTTTAGCTCATGTGTTGACAAAAATCCTGTTGTGTTGGGGGTAGAGTGGAGGTAAGATGAAAGTCGGTCAGTTGTGGTAGGCAGCCTCTAAAATGCCCCCAGTGGTCCCTGCCTTCTGGGATTCACACTCTTGTATAATCTCTTCCCCTTGAGTATGGTCTGGACTTAGTGACTTGCTTCTAATGAGTAGAATATGGCAAAGTGATGAGACATCACTTCTGAGATTAGGTTATAAATAGCTTCCATCTTGCATGCCCTCTCTTGCTCACTTGGTTGGAAGCCAGCTGCCATTTTGTAAGCTGCCTTTTTGAGAGGTCCGTGAGGGAACGAACTGAGAGCAGTCTCTGGCCAACAGCCAGTAAGAAACTGAAAGTCCTTAGTACAGCAACCCATAAAGAACTAAATCATACAAACAATCACATTAATGAGCTTGGCTGCAGGTTTAATCTCAGTTGAGCCTTCAGGTGATAGGTGATACTGCGGCTCTGACAGTTTGACTGCTGCCTTGTGAAAGACCTTGAGGCTTTGCTACCCAGATAATCTGCACCCATATCCTGGATCCACAGAAACCGGAATAAAGTCTATTGTTTTATGATGTGAAATTTTGGGGAATTTTTTTATGCAGCAATACAGAACTAATACGTCAGTTAAAGAGTTAATGCAATTATCCTGAGATGATGGTGACTTAGACCAGGGTGATAACCAGGTTGACAAAAACTCTAAATATTAATGTATTTGAACTCTGGATATATTTTAAAGGTAGGTCTAACTGTTTTCTGAGGAAGTAGATATAAATGGGGGAGGGGGGGCGTGGTGGTGGTGGTCATAGTGTATAACAAACATCACAACCAAGTGGGATTTATTTGAGGGATGCAAAGTTGGTTTAACATTCGAAAATCAACCAAGGAAGACTGGGTGTGGTGGCTCATGCCTGTAATCCCAGCACTCTGGGAGGCTGAGGTGGGAGGATTCCTTAAGCTCAGAAGTTGTAGATCAGCCTGGGCAACATAGTGATACTCTTGTCTCTACAAAAAATTTAAAAATTGGCTGGGTGTGGTGGTGTGTTCCTGTAATCCTAGCTACTTGGGAGGCTGAAGTGGGACTGAGGCCAAGAGTTCCAGGCTGCAGTGGAGCCACAAGTGTGCCACTGCACTCCAGCCTAGGCAACAGGGGGTGACTCTGTCTCTTAAACAAAAAACCATAATCAGCCAAGGTAATTCACTGTATTATCAAACTAAAAAAATTAAAACACATCATCTCAGTAAATGGAAAAAAAGCATTTTTCAAAATTCAGCACCTATTCATGGTTTTAACCATGCCTATATAACACTGTACCAGTGTTACAGCACACTGTACTAGCTAGTGTGCAGGGCAGCAACAAGTAATTACAGGCATAAAGATTGGAAAGAAAAAAATTAACCTTTTAGTTCTCAGATGACGTGACTGTATATGGGAAAATCCAAAGGATTCTATACAAAAGAATCCTTTGAATGTGAATATGAAGTGAATATGGCAAGGTTGTAGGTTAACAAAGTTAAAATTAATTTGTCCAGGATCATATCCTTATTTTTTTTTAATTTTTTTTTTTGTGAGACAGAGTCTCGCTCTGTCACCCAGGTTGGAGTGCAGTAGTGTGATCTTGGCTCACTGCAATCTTTGCCTCCTGGGTTCAAGTGATTCTCCTGCCTCAGCCTCCCGAGTAGCTGGGATTACAGGCGTGCATCAACATGCCCAGCTAATTTTGTGTTTTTAGTAGAGACGGGGTTTCACCATGTTGGCCAGGCTGGTCTTGATCTCTTGACCTTGTGATCTGCCCACCTCACCCTCCCAAAGCACTGGGATTAACAGGTGTGAGCCACTGCGCCCTGCCCCTTATTTCATATTTTATTTCTGTGTTCTAGTAAGGCTAATAGGAAAATAAATTTGAAAATGAGTCCCCTTAACATAGCATAAAAAATCATAAAAAATTAGGACTTTAACAAGAGTATTTGCCAGATATCTACACTAAAGACTACCAGACATCGCTGAGAGAAATTAAAGAAGACCTAAATAAATGGATATACCATGTTCATGGATTGGAGGACTCAAGATGTCTGTTCTTTCCAAATTGATACATAGATTCAGAAAAATACAAATGAAAACCACATCAGGTGTTTTTTTTTTTTTTTTTTTTTTTTTTTTTTCTTTTTTTTTTTTCTTTTTTTTTTTTTTTTTTTTTTTTTTTTAGAAAAGTCAATTCATTTTAAACAGAGGCACCATACCAATTCAATGGAGAAGGAGAATATTTTAAAGAAATGGGGTTAAACCAGATAACCTTGTCAGGGGTGGGGGGAGTAGCGGGGAAGGACGATCCTCATTCCTTGCCGCCTTGCATCACACTCAAATGAATTTGAGATATCTTTGACCTAAACATAAAAGAAGTTAAGACTAATGCTTTCAGAAGAAAACACGGGAAAATTTCCTCATGACCTTGGGGCTGACAGAGTTTGAAGTCATGAAAAGCACCTAACTATAAAAGGAAAAAAAAATTGGACTTCATCAAAATAAAACGCTTCTGCTCCCCAGAGTGACAAGTAAGAAAATAAATAGGCAAGCCACAAACTGGGGGAAAATGCTAGCAATACATACATAAGACAAAGGACTTATATCCTTACCTTAAAGATTCCTACCATTCAGTAACAAGAAAAGTAGCCTAATGAAAAAATGGCCAGACTTGAACAGACATTTTGAAAAAATCATAAATCACCAGTGAGCATATGAAGAGGATTAAACATCATCATGCAAATAACCAGAGTGAGACACTTTATTAGAATGGCTAAAATTAAAAAGACACCACCAAATGTTGGCAACTGGAACTCTCATAGTTGCTGGTGGGAGTGTAAAATAGTACATATAGCCACTGTGGAAAACTTTTTGATAGTTTCTTATAAACCTACCCTGTGACCCTGCAATTCTACTCCTAGTTATTTCACAAAAGAAGTGAAAACATAAGTCCACAAAGAATGTTCATAATAACTTTATTAAACAATAGCCCCAAACTGTAAAAAAACACATGTCCATAAAGAGGAGAAAGGACCAATTATGGTACATTCATGCAATGAAACACTACTGAGTAGCAGAAAGAAAACCATGGGTCCTGGCACAACATAGATGAGTCTCTCAGACACGCTGAGCAACAACGCTGGACACAAAAGTGACACACTGTGCTGTCATTTACATAAAATTCAAGATTAGGCAAAACTAATCTATGACAACAGGAATCAGAAAATGGTTGCTGGGACAGGACCAAGAGGGGAATAAATTCACTGCAAGAGGCACAAGGGAACCTTGAGGAATGACTGAAGGATTTTTAACCTGGTTTGGGGTAAGGGTTACATGGGTGTAGAGATTTATCAAAAGTGAGTAACTATAATCCTAAAATCTATACATTTTACTGTGTACAAATTATATCTGAATACAAACCATTTTACCTTAAATTAGTATTTAAAAATCTGATTTATCACAGGGTTCTCGGGCTGTTCATAGAGAGGTGTGGTGACTTATCTCCATTTACAATAGCCTTTCCTTTGAGTCAGTCAGCTCTTCAATATAAAACTTGAATTTTTGAATTCACTAATTTTCCAGTGAAATGCTTCCAATTTTTTTGTCCTAAATTTCTTGTTCATTATTCATCATGTTCTACTTGTATATTAGAAGTTAAAGACAGTAGTCGTCCTAAAAATAGTCCAAACACTCCTTTTAAATATAAAAACAGATGCCTAAACTGATTTGTCTAGGATCATATTCTTATTACATCTCAAAAATACATTACATTATATAAATCATGCATTGTCATCCTTTGCAAATACTAACAGCTGGGCAAAGACAACAGCTTAACTTTTTACGCAGATGTAGATTAGACAATTATGTCTGTTCTAACTGGCAACCGAGGAAGCAGTGAAAATAACTGGGTGTCAGGAAACGGGAATATTTTATAGGGAAGTATACATTCTATCATCAGTTATATTTTTTTAAAAAGCACATATTTTCTGTGAACCAGGGCATTTCCAAATTCCCAAGTGCTCTTGGCTGGCTTTTCAGGAATGATGCAATTTCTAGTCTAGTTGAGGTATGCTGGTCTTTACAGCTGGCGCATTCTTATCAGAGTCTTTTCCAGGAGTTGTACTGATGATCTATAAAAGCTGGGTAAGAACTACATTTTGAAAAACTGCAGTCAGTGAAAGGCATAAATGATATCCCTGTCCTATAATGAAGGGTAAATACAGTAAAATTTAACTTCAAACAAGTTTGGCAGTGAAGGTTGTGATAAACAGAGAGAGGCTTAAAATGCTTAAATAAAGGAACACTTTTAATTATATAGGAAAATTTTTATTTGATAAATATAACTTCATAAACTTTAAAAAATTACTAAGAGCTGTACAATAATATACTATATTTACTGACAATGCAGAGAAATTTTAAAGGATTACATTAGACAGCCACAGTGTCTCAGGTCCAAAATTTTAAACTAAAAGTATTGCTACAGTATTTCCAGATACTCATTCCTCATAAAAATCTAACAATTACCATTATTACAAATGTATTAGTTATGAACTATTTTTTATAGGAACAACATTCAAGTTATTTCACATAAAACAGCACTTTAATAATGTTTTACTTATATGAAAATAGGTAACTCCTAGAAATAGAATGTAAGTGGGGACCAAAATCAATAAAACATGTTTTACAGAACTCTTTGGTGTGCTATTTTTATTAATACCTGCCCAATATCATACCCTAAACCGATCTTTACAGGAAAAACACCAACATGGAAGATTCTCCCTTTTCCTACAGCGATTTTCAGAGTAGCATATTTTAAAAACTTTTGGCTCTTAACTGTCAATTTTCTAGTGGCCTTGACTCCTGCTTCTCAGGAGTCTCCAGCTCTCAGGTAAGTTCAATCTCACAATCTTCTGCAGTAGAAACGGCCTCAGTCCTGGCACTAACCGTAGGGCAGAATGCAAGTGTTCCCTAAGGCTGATTTGCCTCTGTGTAGTCTCCTGTTCAGGACACTGCCTGGGCGGGGCTCAGCTCTGGAAGCCTTTGTATATTATGAGCTTTAGATCCAAGAAAGAGGACGGTTAGAAAATTCAGACCATAGATTCTCCCCTTTTCTCAACCCAACAGCAGGTCTTTGTAGCTGTAGTTCTCCCTGGCCCATACTTTGCTCCGCCCAGGGTGAGCCTATGCCTGCTAAAGCTGAGGCAGGGTGCTGAGTCACTTAAAGCCTTAGCTGAGGGGCAATTTTGGAAACTGACTTGGTGCTTGCCACTATCTTCAGGCTTACAGCCCTCAGACGAGGCAAAGGAAGGCAAAAGGAGGCAAATCGATTTGAGACCACTGATTAACTAGCAATAACATATTCAGCATTTTGCTCTGCTTTTGGCAGATAAGGGTTAATTATCAACATCATACTTTCCAAAGAATTTTAAAGAAATACGCAAAGGGGACACTTTCCTTGTGATTACTGGTTACGTAGTAAGAGTTTTACAAGATGAATATAGCACTAGAAAACTACTGAAAGCTTGTAGACTGCATTGTTACTTTCTTAAATAGAAAACTCTTCTTAAAATCAAGATAAGTTTGCTTTAAAAACGGAGTGGATTTGGGGTAACAGTTCAGGATGAGCACACTAGTGGATGCCATTTACTTTTTTTTTTTAAAAAAATAAAGTTCTCCTTAACTAACTTCGAATGGTGAGTACAGAAAATTACATCAATCACACTTTAAGCACCATTCTAGGCGAGCTGACCTCCTGTCTTGCTGCAGTTGGTCATAGGCTACTTTATGACTTTGGAGTCTTTGTCTAGTGTCAGTACTCAGTTTATTTGATGGCAAATAAACACTGTCATGTAAATGTAATGCAGGCCTATTGAATGTCATTTTGTTATATGTACGTTTTATAAGAGACTTTATAAGCAAATTTCCATATCCTCCACTAAAGTACTCTACTGAGTATATCTGCAGTATTCCTTTTCTGGAACATGAATTAGTGAATGCAGACACTGTACAGTGTATTATTCTTTTAAAGTATTTCCAGAATAACAGATCTTCCTAAATCCAACTATGGAATATCTTAAGTTAAAGAAGGACTGTTTTTGAAAATTAATATTTAGCTTAATAACTTAATATCCTTACATCACTGGAACAGACAAATGTTACATTAACAAGAAAATAGTTTACAAGCAAACAAAGATAAAGTCTTAATTTTTGTCTCAACCATTCTTTTCCCTGCCAGCCCCATTCTAGAAGCCTTATATTCATGAAATGGCAAGGAAGCTTAGGGTTGCACAATAAATCTCCATAAAAGAATGACATTTTCAAGGGAAAACTTGGTAAAACCGCATTTAACCATTTTCTTAATATGTATACAATCATTATTTGCTTAGAGCTGGGTAATAAATAATTCTTAAGCTAATAATCACTTCTAAATCTTAAGATAACATTTCAACAAAACAAAAACAAATGACAATACAGAACTACTTGATAAATTCAGGATGGAAGTTAGGTTTTGAAGTGCAATGAGTTAATTACAGTAACATCTATCCGATTAATCATTCTTAGCATTGTAATTTATTGCTAATGTTACCTGATACAAGTTTAGCATTTTAAACTTTAACAATTTACATTCCATAGCCACACCTGAAAATATGCCTTGCACTGGGACACTGGCAGAACCCACTGTATTGTGGTAGTGTGCTATAACTTAGATAACATAACCTGAAAATAAGATTATTAACTGAAACCCTTTATTCTAAAATCTAGCTTACAAGGGGAAGAGCAATTGTAAGTTGGTCGCAGAAAGAGGCTCTTCTCTTTTTATTGATTTAATTACCCATGCTATTCTGATTTGTATAATTAAACATATTTGCAATATTTAAATACTGTCCAAACTTTTTATTGATATAGTTAAACTTTACAACAATGCCATGAAATACTATACACAGAGCCTTCGGGTAAAGAGGAAAAAAAGCAAATTTAAATGTGTTAACCAGATTACAGCATGCAAAAGATCCAATGATAAAGACATTAAATTAATAATATGTTAACGGTATCTAATTTACCCACTATAGGGTCTTCATACTCTGTCACAAAAATATTAGTAAACATCAATTTGAAGTTCGGTGAACAGACCTGATTCCTGATTTGTATATTTGATACACCCTTGCATTTATATGGCTAACTTTACAGGCTGTGTTACAGTACAGTTAGAGGAATTGGTATCCATACTGCAGTAAATAATGGTTGGAAATGATTCTCCTAATTTGCTCTGTGGAACTCAGAATGCACTAATGAATTAACAACACAGGTCACTGAGGGACCAAAATTCCTCAGTATTCACATTAACTTTTCCCATGAAAAGTTTCAATATAACTCTAATAAAAAAATAGAGTTCTCAAGGCAAACTTTCAGCATAATTTACAGAAGCAGATTTAAATAGAAGAGTCAATAATCAAGCTAATACTAAAAAATACACGTTACTAAGATTTATCTCTTTTTTCTACATTTATATTAAAATATAATGGCCTCAGCAACAGACTGAAATGCCATTAGGAGTCCCATAGGCACAAGGGACAAACCAGACAAAGAGATGAAAAATGTCTCTTTATTCTCCAATTTTAACATGTTCAGATTCAAATTAAGGGTGTTAGGAGGGGCTTGTATTAATGCTTTCTGTTTGTCTGCCATCGTAACTCGGAGTGGGTGTGAACTGTTACAAAGATTTCGGAAATTAATTTCAGAGCTAGTGTGGCCATTAACAGGGTGATCACACTGAATTTTAGGAAAGGAGGTGAAATGGCTCCCACAAAGTACTACAGCCCCTTTAACAAGTAGATGAGTCCATTGTGGAGAGAGTCAAGATGCTCCTGTCGTTGGTATAGAAAGGATCCGATGCACTCCATGATCTAAAGTAACAATAAGAGAAAAGTTTGGCTCACCAGGACCTATGTTTTAATTGAGAAAAAAATTTACTCTAAAACTTAGGACCCAAATGCAATCACTGATTGATTCAATTAAATGCTAAAGAGAGGTTCTTCATACTAGTATTGAATGCCCAAACTTTCTATTTATATTATATAAAAACTTGGGAAAAATAATGCTCTAGTCATCATATAAAAATATTAGCCAAAATTCAAACATTCATTAGCATTAAAACAGTTTCTATATGTAGTAAAGCATGGGATGCTTTTTAAAGTCTTAACAATTCAATAAGAAGTATGTTATTAAGAGTTATGCACATTCAGTTTTACTGAAAAGTTCAGTTTACAAAAACAAACCCAAATCCCACTTACCAAAGGCTTTGGAATGAAACAGTAGTATGTTCCTATTATTGATCATTTCATTTCAGCTATAAATCCTATTCTAAAGACTTCAGCATAATTAGCTTGAATGTAGTGAATGATGTATTCAAAAGACATCAAAGACACCTGTAGGTCACTAGTGTTTTCACTTAACTAAGAACAAACAATCCTCTACTGGTCTGGAAAAGTTAACTGGTGTCTGAATGATAAGGCCCTAAAGCAATTCATTACATAATACTTTATGTGCAGCTGTAAACTTAAATTAGCTTGAGTTAATTTAAGCTAAAATAACTCAAGACCAAAAGTAGCCTGCCATGCTTAAAATAGACTAACCTAGTTCAAGGACAATGTTAGGACTGCCAAGTGAAAGGTTGCTTTTCTTACGAGACTAAACACATTTAACAATAAATACATTTTATGTAACTTTTTCCAGGGTTCCCACCTTCCCTAAACAGAGACGTTACAGGAAGAGACGAGCATTAAAAATGGCCCCAATTCACCTTTGTCAAATATTTTCTTTTTCCCAGAGATGCTAAGTTTGTATGTAGCTCAACTTTAATTCGACTAGTTTCTAGAAAAGCTGGAACAGTATCTACTTTAGGTTAGGGAAGGACTAGTTCACTACTGTCTGCCTAGCATCTAGAACTGTGTCTGACATATATTAGGCACCCAGTGTTTGTAGAATAAATGAATAAAACGAGAAGATGAAAATTTCTTTAACAGTAAATATTTACAGGGGAAAAGTATGCTTTTAACTGTAACTTTTAACTATAACAGCTATCAATATCCCAGTTATCTGGAGTCAGATGTCCAATTCCAAACTGCCATACTTTTTATTAGTTTTTCTTCTTTCCACATTGCTTATACCCCAGAATCTTATTAGGTAATGTCTCCTTTTTAATTTTTTTTTCAAAGCACACATTGTGCATTCATATGTTAAATATAATTTTTGACAGAACATTAAACACTTGAACTATGTATTACTTACTATTTAGAATATAGTTTTGATTAGGATAAAGTAACTTAACTATTAGTAATAATAGGAACAGAAAATCTTTTATTGCTAAAATCCAGCTCTTTAGGGTGCAACATGGCATATCCTTTATATAGCACCATGATGCTCCCTTTGAAACTAAGCTTGCAATATGGGATACTTCACTGACAACACCAATTAATAAAATGTAAGTCAATTTTTGTGCCTGCATGGTAAAAATGTAATCACCAAAGAAATCTGTCATATAAAAAATACTGGTGGCATTTCTCAAGTGATGCCCATTACTCTTTGAGTTTAATATGTTAATGGAACACACAGCCAAGGGCTTCCACATCTCGTAATGGCAGTCTCAGCCTTGCCTACCTCCTAGACATGAAATAGAAATGTAGAATAGATGCTGCTCTAAAGTCACAATGGAAATGCCCAACACATTTCACAAATACAATTATATGTAAAAAACAAAACCAGAACTCTACATATCAAAATGACTTTGAAAGTTTAAATATAATCTTAATGCATCTATGGCAATTTTCACATAGCCCTTGAAAAGCACCAGGTAGCTTGGTGTTGTTATATGACTTTATCCCCTAGAAAAGAATGAACAGGTCTGAAAAGACTTTCTAGATTGTTCACATGAGAAAAAAGCTAAGAAAATAATAGTAACCAATAATATAACCTGTGATGTTGGAGAAAACTGGAAGGGCATTTATAGTCTGTCAAATATGATATTAATTACTAAGTTGAACATTTTATTAGGAGAATAAAAAAATTCAGAAAAAAGAATGTGGCACAATTTTAAGTGAAAAGAAGTATAGATGATAATAGCTACATGTCAAAGTAAATTCAATAACTCCTGGGGCAGGTTCCAAAGAGGTAATGCCGCATCAAAATGGCTATGTAAAGAATAAAGGGGGTATATTACCTACATAATTGATATCAAGAAAATGGATATACATACAGAGAGAGAGCAGAAAAAATTGGGGGCTCATTTAAAATTAATTCTAGTTTAAAAAAATCATTAACAAAAACATATATTGTCATTAAAGAGAAATTCTCATTGAAACAGAAGTTGAAAAAATTCTGTAGAGGTTCTATTGTATCTTGGTCTAACTCCTATCTTCATTCTGTGCAATGAAGCTGTGTTATTAGGTAAAATAATATTATAAATCAAGCTCTTTTAGAACTTCCTTTGGGAAACTTGCTGGCCTAGGTACATGACAGAGCCACATTTTATAATACAATTATGTGAATCATAACAAAGTCCCAGAGTTTAAGTGCTCATCCTTCTACATGAAATGAAATTACTACAAAATGATATCACAGCATTATGGAAATATTTCAGATCACATGTTATAATCAAGTCAGAATAAATGGGGATTGAAACCACAGACATATGTTAACATAAGAATGCTATTTATAAATTCAATTGTAACATAAAGGCATGGCTAAGCTAAAGCTAAAGTGAGGAACTAATAAGTTCACCAGTAAAAGTTACCTGAATTTTATAATAGATGAATGATATCATACTCTTTTTTTTTTAAAAACATAAAGCTAACCAAATAATAAATATCCTTTTTCCAGTAGATAGGAGTAGTGCCTTCTTCACTCTTTATAACCTGTTCCTGGGGTAATTTCCAACCTTTTCCAAGCCCTGGCACATGTAGAAAGTGCTAATATTCATGTAGCACATTTGGGACAATGGGAACCAACATCTCTCCCTGCCCATTTGTACCCTCCATGCATACCGTGTACTGCTGCACTGATTTTGAGAATATGGTATCATTCACCTAAAGAACACCAAGGGTGGAAAAAGCGCTTTCTACCCCCTAACATCCTCTAAATAGTGATATAACTCTTGGGGACATGTATGAATAAATAAATTCATTGCACGTTTCAATGAATTTTAAATGGTATTTACCAAAAGGTGGTTTTTGTTGTTGTTGTTGTTATGGTGCACAACAGCAGGCATGGTGATAAACCTCAATCAAGAAATAGATTTAGAAGGGGACAAAAATGCTAAGATTCTTTTACTCCATAATTTAAAGAGCCTGTTCTAACTCATACACTTTTAATTAGACAATAAATACCAAGCAAAAGAAACTTAAAAATCATGACTCATTTCAAAACTTCATTACAGACATAAGAAGATGTAGGGGAGCAGAAATACAGCCTTTTGTGTTTATAAATACCTCAAAGCCTCAAATAAGCAACTGGAAAATATACATACAGAGTAAGAAAAGGAAAGCCTTTGACTTCACTGTTATGTTGAGATTATTTTGTAAAGACAAAAAGCAAAAAAAATTTTAAAAATAATGAAAAGGAAATAGTATATGTATAATTTAAAAAAGAAAGTTATACAAACCATGAAAGAGTACCATATACACACTCCTACTCAGCACATTTTAGAAAGACTATGAGACAAAATGTTTTGTTCATTAGATGAAGTCTCTTCAAAGGTGCTTTCTCTTCCTTTGTGAGTGAAAAAGCCCCTTACCCCAAAGCCACAAAGTGAAATCTACCACCAAGGAATGCTAATAAATAGCAGACTTCCTGCTTCAGTTGGTAAAACCAGCTGCTGATTTATTAGGTATCTAGAGCTGCAGGTTCATCCTGTTCCAGATAGGATACTCATTTGCAGCAAAGGCTACTTAGAGATATTTCACACCTGCTGATGTGGGTCGGACTACATCTTCCTATAACTCGTTCCAGCATTCTTCCAACAGATGCGCACGCTGCTTCTCCTTCCGGGAAACAGCACATGGAGTCCAAGCACTTGATACCTGCATTTGTTTCAGTAAGCTGCAGAGGCGAAGCAGAAAACATTAGTTATTTAAAGATCTGGACTTCTAAAGAGCATTAGAAAATTACAACAAGCACTTTCAAATCAAAGGTAATATATATAAACTTACATGTTTTTCTATAATATGGGAAACATATGAAAGGCTTTAATTTACTAGAGTATAACCATCCAAAATTATTTTAAAGCCTTGTATCCTAAATTAGAGGTCTAGTAAAATAATTACATAAATTAAGAAGCTGGATATTATTTAAATCTACTTTTAATGTTTTATTTTAATCATTTATTATGGTCAAAATGATTTCCATCAACCACTCAGGAATGTAATGAATTCCAATTCTGCATGGAGTTTTTCTTTAGGTAAAATGCTCCTGCAATTTCAATGAAAAATGTCTAACAATTGAGAAAAGTGGAGTATGAACTATCTTGAAGACTGGGAAATAACAACCAGGCAGGGCCTCACCCCAATCTTCAATAACAACAACAATGGCAGCAAACACTTTACGTATGCTTTACTATGTGCCAGGTTCTAAGCACTCTACAGATAGCCACTCCATACTTATCTTTGAAAAAAGCATCATTTATCATAAATTGCTAAAAACTTTGAAGTGGCAATCATCCCATCATCAGCTCATCCTGCTTTTTTACAGTTAGCTGACATCACACAGATTACAATTTATTAAACAAGTGAATAAGTAGTACTATCAAGATTTGAAACTGAATTACTTTCTGAAAGTATGCAAGATTTATGTTGATTCAGGCATAAATAGCTCAGCAAGATAATTTTATTCCACACTACTAACAATTTTAACTGAGCAAAAATGAGGGAGAAAGATGGTATGACCACGTAAATCGATGAATCCCAACCCTGGTTTTGTTTGTTAAGGATGCTCCGAAATTTTTCAAGGGCTGTTGTTTTAAAAAAAAACACCTTATTTCAATTCACTGTCTTTTACATATATAACATCCTGCATAACACATCTTTTGAGGATAGAGGAGAATAAATACAGGGTTGCACTTCCACGAAGGTTGGGAGTCACCACGTGCTGGGTGCAGGCATTGGCAATAGAGGATGTTTGTGGAGATGCTCACAATGAACAGAAGAGACGGACATGGTGGAACAGAAACCTGGCATTCTGAACGTAAGCAACTGCTGACGTCCTGCAAGATGCATGCTCAGAAGATTCGACACCACCCAGTGTGAAACAACGTGGTTCTTATCTGGCAACTGCCTGATGACAGTGTCCTAGGATCAGCTAAGCACTGAGAAAGAGCTAAACTTTACTTGTTCTTTCATTACAATACTCTTGGTTTAGAATTGTGTAGGGCACTGTTTCTTAAACTGTTTTGTGAGCTATTTACATACATTTCATGAAAAAAAGGGCTGTGTTCAATTAAATTTGGGAAACACTAATTTAACAAAGTTCTAAACAGACTTTTAAAGTAGAGGACTGTCAAGTTAGGATACATGGTCATCTCCATGGGGGAAGCCTGAGATATCGTAATTCTCCCACTCATTTTCTTAGTGGGAGAAACCATACACTTCCACCCCACCAACCAGGAAACATTAAGCAACACCAGGAGGATCATTCATATTCAGAGGAATAGTTTAGGAAATGCTGGTTTAGGTAACAGGATTTCATGAGTTTTCCAGTGTCCTCTTTGGGTCACTGGACTCCAGTTTCCCCAATCTCAAATTTACCCCTTGTAGCAACCCAGACTCCGGGGCTCTTACATGCTCAAAGGATAAAGCCCCACACCCCATGAAGCCTTGAAGGCCTTTTACAGCCTGACCCAAGGCTGCCTTTCCTGCTCTGCTTCCCAATGCTCTGGTGCAGTATCCACTCCAGCCAACCAGGACGTGTTCCCTGCCCGTGGGCATGTGTCAGGGCCTGCTATCAATCAGGGTCCAAATGCTGACCCCTACACCAGGGTTCAGCTTAAACCCCACCGTCTCCATCGAACTTCCCTCACCTCTCCAACTATGAGTCATCTCTTTTTCTGATTCTATTTCACTGCTTATTTGTATCACTTAATTGGCACAAGCACTTAAACTTCTATTGATTGAGCAAGGTACTGTGCCAGTTTCCACAGGGGATAGTAACCCTGCGCTCAATCAGGTGAGCTAAAAGGAAGGAAGAAGGTGGGAGAGACGACAAGTCAGGAAGACATACCAACAGCAGTTACATTAGTGGAGTGCTCACCACGTATGCCCCAGTGACTATATAAGATGCTTCTCACGGATTGTCTCACTGAAAACTTAAATAGCCCTTAGGAATAGGCGTCATGACCATCCCCAGTTTAAAGAGGAGGAAACAGTTAAGAATTTGTTCAACGTCACCCACTTAATCCGGGGCTTGAATCTTGGTTTCTTTGCTTGCAGAGCCCAAACCCCTTTACCACGTCACTATTCTGCCTTATGATTGTAAGAGGCAGACTACTCAGAAAATAGGAGGGAAAGCTCAAACCCAGTTGCTGTTAGTGGTAGTGGTGGGAGAGCATGAAGATTTGATGAAAAAGGTGGCATTTAAAATACATCTTAAAGGACTCGGGGGGCATTTCAATACAGCAGGAGATGGCGGAGAAGAGATATTCTAGGCTGAGGGAGGAGAAAGAGTGGCTGTGTGTGGGCAGCAGTGTGGTATGTATTCAGCACAAGCTTAGCCTAAATGTAAGGGAGTGGTACTGTCCCCCTGCAAAAAGACAAGTTGTGACTCAAAGTGTGGTCCATGGATCAATGCTGATCCATAAACACTATTACCGGTCCATGAAGAAATAAGCATTTGTAATCTGTAAGAATAAGAGCTTAGAAATTTTTACAGCAGTTGGACAAACTATGTTTATAACTGTTAAATTCAATCATTTAAAAATTTGGGCTTATTTTATATATCTTTTAGATTTCATTTTCCTGTAATTCATTTTTATTGTATTTGTAAAAGCACTGGCTCAAGATAAACTGGAAATTAAAACAAAACAAGAAAATAACAAACTGGTCCTTTACCACATTTACTTGGGGAGAACTAAACCAGAAACTCAAAAGAGCAAGGATCTTGTCTGACACTTTTTAGTTTAACAACATGTGCTGTGCTCAAAGCTGGTGCTCAACCAAACTGAGGAGAAATTCATCGAGATGACACCCAGAAGGTAGCCAGCGCTTGAGTATCCATATATATGCAAGACACTGCCTTGGTCTGGATCTGACCTTACATAATCATCTTGCTTTGCATTCATCACCTTTCACTTTATTTTTATTATTTTTAGAGACAGGGTCTTGCTCTGTCATCCAGGCTGGAGTGCAGTAGCACAACCGATCATAGCTCACTGCAGTCTCAACCTCCTGGGCTCAAGCAATCCTTCCACCTCGGCCTCCTGGGTGGCTACTACAAGTGTGCGTCATCATGTCAGGCTAATTTTTAATTTTAGTAGAGACAGGGTCTTACTATACTGCCCAGGCTGGTCTCAAACTCCTGGCCTCCAGTGGTCCTCCCACTTCAGCCCCTCAAAGTGCTGGCATTACAGGGGTGAGCTACTGAGCCTGGCCATCCTTCGCTTTAAAACTGAAGGACAGTTATTAAAATATAGACATCCCAACAGAGAAGGTAAACATCTTGAAATGTCAAAAATTTTAAGAAATGACTTCTTCAGGTCACTTTTTGAACTTATATATGTGTATATATAGTTTGTATGTATATGTTTCCTTTTTTCTCTAAAGAAAAAAAAAAGAACTCAGCTGCTTGTTTTTTCTGAGACCGAGTCTCACTCTGTTGTCCAGGCTGGAGTACAGTGGTGCGATCTCGGCTCACTGCAACCTCCGCCTCCTGGGTTCAAGCAATTCTCATGTCTCAACCTCCTGAGTAGCTGGGACTACAGACACGCACCACCATGCCAAGCTAATTTTTTGTATTTTAGTAGAGATGAGGTTTCACCATGTTGTCCAGGCTGGTCTCAATCTTCTGAGCTCAGACAATCCGCCCACCTCAGCCTCCCAAAGTGCTAGGACTACGAGCATGAGCCACTGTGGCCAGCCTCAGCTGCTGTTAAAATGCTGAATGTTGGCTGTGTTTCTGTAAAGCTATCTATAGAAAATGTTATACTGTTCTCTAGCAAACCTCTAAGCTCTACTACTTTCCCATATATATATCTTTGATCTCAATATTCAGGAACTGAGAGCTCGGCCAGAGTACTTATATAGCCATAGTTGCCAGTATAATTGGGCGAGGGAGAATGGAGTTGACCATTTAGGGCTCATTTCATTCAAAGTAAGGAGAGGAAATCATTACATTTTTTGGGAGACCACTTATAGATAATAGAAAAGAAAAAAAAGCATAGTAATGGGAGTGAGACCCCACCTGGTGGTATCAACAGGTAACTTTTAATTTACTAGAAGTTGTGATTGGTAAGCCTCACTTTCCATCACACTTGATCCCAGGAATGACCACATAATTTAGTGCTAGAAAGGCTGTCACGAAAAACAACTATGCCTATTCAACATGACTATGCACAGATAATAAAAATGCTCATCTTCACAGAAACTGCCCCTTGAAATAAACTCTGGTTCACTGCTTTTATTTCCATTATTTTCATGTCAATGACAATAAACAGATATTTCTTATTGCTTATACAAAATATTTTCCTGAAACCTTACAACCTTCCTTAAATCTTATAAATTTTAGAAAAATATCTTACATTTCTAACATTTTTTAGTCACACTTATGACATTCTATCAAATCAAATAAAGGTTTTTGTTATTTGAAGTTTAGATAATAACTGTCAAATAATTAACCATGCTAGGTCTTTTGCCCTGAAAGGTGTTTTATATACTATATAATCAAAGTGAGCACCTTGCATGGCCTTAAAGGAGTTATTTGGAAAGAAGCTTTCCACTCTAATTATAAAAACAAAATGAAAAAAGAGGAGGTTTGTGTTTAAGGAAATGTTTTTCTTTTTAATGTAAAATCAAGTCATCAAATATTACATTTTCAAATCTGATTAAGACTCATAA